ACGCGTGCTCGATTCTACGTGGCGCGAATATCGTGGCGACGATCAACGATTATAATTATCCCAACACCGCGTCCCAAAGCGAGACCTGACGACGAGCACGACGACGGTTGCAACCAATTTGCGTACTCGTATAAATGCAGGTAGCGGCGAGTAAACGTTTCCTAGGCCGGCGCGTCCAGTATTCCGGCAGCATGCATTATGCATGAGCCGCCGCGGTGTGTTTCTTCCTCGTATCCTTTTCCTCTTCCACCGGATCTCGCGCTTCCACAGGCCATGCGCCAACACCGGATCCGCTAATTAAGAAGCCGCCTCGATTTATCTACGGACGATTAAATCCTGCGAACGTGATCGTCGTCCCTACCTCCGCCGTCCAATTGTCCTCGCGTGCTGTACGAATACCGTAGCCAATGCCATTTCGTCTCGCCTCGTTTCGTCCCGCCGCGGAAATCGAAAGAGCTAGGCTGAACAAGGGAGTGGAAATTTCTTTCCTCCAAATCGAAACGAGTGGCGAGATTAGTCGTCGCGGTTGTTGGAACGAAAATAGAACGATAAGTTTTAATGAACGGTCTCGTTAGCTCGTCGAATCGAAAAAGAAGAAGGAAAAGGAAGCGAAATTTCGTTCGCGTCACGAATTAAATTATTAAAAAAAGAAGGGAAAAAGAGGAAGGCAATTAAAGCAGCGACGAGGGAGAGACGTTCGAAACGTCTCAACCCCCATTTGACGATGATAAAGTGCTGATAATAACGCGACTAAGTAATCGAGCCGATTCCCCATGGTTCCAAGCGCGACTCTGTCCCCGCCGCGACCAAGATAAATTTCTCCGCGCGGCTAATGACGTTTCTTGCCCGCGAATTCATCTTCTCGGGGCCGCCGTTCTTCGGTAAGCCGATGATCCACCAAACGCGCTCCATCGACCGATCCTTTCTTTGTTACCCCCTCTTCATCTCGTGCCGTTGTATCCTCGATTATCGCGATTAGAAATGTCTTATCTACGGTCGAAAATGTGCCCAAGGTAAATTTGATAAGCGAATATACAACACGCAACGTAATTCTCAATGAAGAATCGTTCGTATAAGAATCTACATATAAGGTTGAGAATAAAGTTAATTCGTTCAAAACGTTCGAATAAATAATCCAAGTAATTTTACTCGAGGAAGGAGAAATTATTCGAATAAACGTTATTCCAAAACTGGAAATTTTCAACGGATCGAAGAAAGTATTTCCAAGTATCTCCGATTCTAAGAATCGGTAGGAACAACGAACCGCGATAATTAGCGAGATACTCCTACACCACTTCCCTATATATATATATATACATACATACATACATCGTAACGCAACAACAAACGAAACAGCGTATTAAAGTTACCACACTTTAGACACCAGAGTGAGCCGGCAAAAAGTTGAACGTACGAAGTTTCCACGAACCGTTCGAAGATTCGACGAGTCCTCGAAACGGGCTTTCACAAATTGTTGGAGGAACGGAAAGCGAGCGGAGGCGGTTTCCTCCTCGCGCTAATTGGCGCTTATTTCCCATCCGTGCTGGGCGCATGCATATGCATACGCCAAGCCTCTCTCTCCGAGCAAATTCTTGGGCCGAGTTGTGCACGGATTCGCGCGATAACGTCGCGCGTGACCCCGTGCACCCTTGTAATACCCGCCTTCTGTCGACACACAACCCTCGGCTATTTGCATATCGCGAACGCACTTTGAACGACAAATTTCCCCGTACACGACGTTTGCGTTTCCGCTTTTTCACGCTCCAACGTCGAGTATCGAGGAGGGAGGACAACAACAACAAGCCTCGAATCGGCGCAGCTGGCCAAATTGGTGGGGGAATCGGACTCGATCGAGGGTGATACTACACATTTGGACGGAGCGTGGTAAAATTTACTAGGCGGCATATGGCGGCGTTCGCGTGATACTCTCGCATTTTTCTCTCCTTCGCTTTTAATCTCGCGCCGACCGATATCTGTAATTTCCGCCGCGGTTCATCAATTTCTCGCGAAACATACGTTTACTTATTATATTTCAAAGGGAGGCGCGAAAGGATGGATTAGCGGGTTTAAGCGAAAGTCGTTGTTCTTTTCCCCTGGAATCCCCTGGTCGGGGAGATCCGGTTTCCGCCGCGTGATCCAGAGAGAATGTCGGTAAACTAGTCCGCGGATAAATTATTTATGAACGCCGACTTTACTTTCGAAACGCAAACTATTTCATCCCGACGCGCGCCACTTTCCTTTTCCTTCCCTCGATCAGGTGACTCGAAATTCGAAATTACCAAATAACTCGTAATCGATCGTACAGGCAGCGAAATCGTCACAGCTTCCGCTCTCGAATCTCGATCGTCTCGATTCACGGAAACGTTAGAATTATCGCGGGGACTCGTCGAGACAACTCTGTCCTTTTAAAACGTGCGCTTTTTCAAACGATAGCCCATCATCATCATCATCATCATCATCGTTTTCCCGCGAGAATATACGTATATATATATGTATGCATATATGTTGGCAAGATATAGGGGTTTCATCGAGGTTGAGATGTTAAAACCGAGATGGAGTTACGTAGCGAGGATTGTAAAAGGATAATTACATTGCCGGGAGTATAGGTTGTCAAATGAGCCGTCTCTTCCTTTTCATCGTTCATTCCCAACTTTGAAAATATTTTCCGGGATATATGTATATTTATATATATATATATATCTCTTTCTCTCCTTTCTAATTTTAAAGACGCGCGATACGTCATCGAAACGACGACGGAGTCGCAGTAAAACTTTTCATCGTTGTTCGCGCGTAGCACGGAGTGTAAAAAAAAATTAAAATTACCGCGGTAATTCCACTACCGGATGGAACTGCCTCTGCCTCTGCGATGCCGTACACTATAATTACACGTTCCATCGTCTTAATAAAAGTAATTCGGCTTCTCTCTCTCTCTCGCTCGCTCGCTCTTTCACGAGGCAAAAGAAGGACGGGCGGGTGGACGGTTGGAAAAGCGGCGTCAGGACGAGGAAGAGGGGTGTGTCGCGCTACTTCCAGGTTAACAACCGGTGTTTATTAAACGGGGAATTGCGGAGAGGAGTCTAGAAGACGCGATGAGGTGAAAAAGAAGAGAGAGAGAGAGAGAGAGAAAGGGGAAGAAAAGAGAGAAAGGAAGGCGCGCGAGGAGTCGATGCCTTCTCTCTCTCCCTCCCTCTTCCCCCCCCGTGGGCAGACGATTCGTTTCACTTCGATATCGTGATTTAATATCTGTAAAATAACGCGTCGTTCACGATGGCGAAGAAACGAGCAATGTCATTGGCGGAGTTTCGCTCGGTTCGAACCGGTCAACACGTTCGGCTGTAAATTCCATCGACTCTCGGACCGAGTCGTCGTCGTTTTCGCAATTTCATGCCGCGTTACAGAGTCGATTATGATCCACGGGCCGCGCGGTATTTTTCAACGCGGATATCTCGATACCTCGCGCCTTTCGAAAAATTGGGCCATTTTTACCTCGAGAAACGAATACGCACTCCCCCTCCCCGCCCGTGCAATTTTCTCACGCGTTTTGCGCCGTGGGACGAAGAGGAGGAGGAGGAGGAGGAAGAACCACTCGTGGAACACGCGCGCGTAACGAGAAAATTCGAAGCGCGGACGAGAAAGCGCCATTAACCGAACCTGCTCGATCGAGTCGTTCCTCCCTTGTAACGTGGGAGGCTCGGTACACGTCGCGCGCGATCCATCCGCGGATCATTGGACAGCCTGTTAACCATGTTTGCGCAACAACGTGATTTACGAAGATCGAGCCGCTAAACAACAATGAGCTCTTCTGAATCTTATCTGCACGCCCATTGTGCGTGCGTTTCATTGCGGTTGAATTCGTCGGACGGGGGAGGAGTTTGCAACGCGAGTCTTAATTATACCTTACGACCGAAAACGAGAAATGAAATATCGCGCGCGAGAGAAGATTTACGTTAAATTTATTACGCCTGTTGCGTCCTCCTTCCTAAACCGATTCTCTTTTATCCCTTCCAATTTTCTTTTTAATTCGCATCCACGATGCTCGTTCGATTTTCGAGACGAGACGAATGGAACGGAATTGGAAATTGTGCTCGTTTCCGCGATCCTTCTCCCAAGCAGTGCACAAATTAATCGTAGATGGCCCCGTAATGGTCGGGAGGCACGCGAACGAGAGCTGCTTCCTTGCCCCGGATTTCTTTCTCTCGACGACAACCGGTTCCACCACGGATGGATCGAGCGAGTTCCCTCGCGAGATAAATCGCGAGATGAATAAGGAGGAAGGAGGGGTCGCGAGTTTCGTCGGTGGTGAAATTTCATCGCGTAATGCGCGCGCCTATTAAACGAACCGGTTTTAATGAATTTGCTGCTCGTCCGCGGCGTACGCACGTGTTGCGACAGACTAATCGAGCGGGGCGTAACGCCGAGGGGACGCGACTCCGTCCGCGTTTTTTGCCACCTCGCAAATTTGTCCGTCGCTGCCTCGATACGACCGCTCGTCCAATTTCGAAAATTTGCGGATCGATCCACGACTTCGAAAGCCTTCGTCCACGCGGATAGTTTTTCCGAGATCGCGATTCTCTTTTTCCTCCGCCGATAGTTACTACCGATGAAAGGAGCTTGCAACGAAAGGAAACGTTTCTATTCTCGTCGAATTCACAATCCTAGAAATATCCTAGACTTTTCGTCTAAATTGGAACGCGTCGTCGATCGACGCCAACCGTGGGAAATTCTTTCGTATAAATATTCCGTATAATTCGTAATCTCGAGACTCTCTCTCTCTCTCTCCCCCCCGTTTGTTTTTAATTACACGCGAGGACAAGCGTGTAAGTAATACGCTATTCGCCTGTTTGCTCATCGCCTACCCACGATTTCCATCCCGCGCAAATTACGAGGAATCGCTCGATCGCCGCGCGTTTACGACGTTTGGAGAAGAGAGGTCGCCAATCGCTCGTAATCACTGCCCTCCCTCTTCCCCACGAAAATAAAGATCGGTGTTGTGTACTCACTATGTCCTCCATGCTGCGATTATTCGCCGCGTGCATTAATCCGGGATTCCCACGGGCGTGGCGCGAACCCGATGGTTCACCTGCTTCGCTTTTCCTCCCTCTTTTGCCTCGCTCGATCACTCGCCCCTTCTTCTCCTCCTCTCCTCGCCGGGCATGGAGCGGTCAACAGCGACGTGTCGTCGCCGCCGGTCGAAATTTCTCGTTCCTCTGCCTCGCCTCTGACGCGCCCTTTATCACGGGCATAACACTCGACTAACTTTCACGAAACCTTGTTGTTGTTTCACCACTCGCCGCATGTATATATCCGTGTGTTACAACGGGAAACGAGATCTCCGTGTTCACTGATAAACGATCACACACACTGTATACACACACATATATATATATAGGTAGGAAGCGTGTAACTTTGGCGGACCTGTTTCTCTCGTAATCCGAGATCCGGAGAGGCTCGAGAGTCTATTTATGCGGAGGGAAGGGAAGAGGAGAAGAGAAGGGAAGGGGAGGGAAGGGAAGAAAAGGGAAAAGAAGGAAAAAAGAAGATGGTGGCGTAAGAAAGAAACAGGCGGGGATCTCACCGTAAGATCGCGGCGAGGATGGTCGTCACCGATACACGGTGACGACAACGACGGTCAGGGTGGTCCACCACGCGCGACATCCTTCGTACCGCTCGTCCAAGTCTCCGCCACCACCGACGGGTATATATCCTTCTCTATACTCTACGGTTCGCGCGCGGTCTTCGCCGAGACCGATCCACGCGAGTCACGGTTAAATAACAATCGAATCGAATTTTTCTCTGTCTGTCGCGTTCGTTCCAAGCTGGTGGGAGCAACGAGAGGAGCGCGATTCCAAGTACGGGACGGACGCGACCGACCGTTCGCCGGCTCGGGCTGAATCTCACTGACTCGCAGTCGTCGCCTCAACGTGTTGCGCCCGGCCGAGCGAGGAAGAGGGGGAGAGGGCGAGCGGAGAGGGGGTCGGGGCCCTTCCTACCGGGTGCCCAGGGCTTCGACCATTATCTCTCCTCTTAGGGCACCGGCCTACCCTCCCTCTGCGCGACGAGCAGGAGGAGGAGGAGGAGCGTCTTTATTATATTTACGAGGCGTTATCGATACCCGATCGAACCGATATTGATTCCGCCGCGGTCTCCTTCCCTCGCTCGTCTTTGTCTCCGTTTCGACTTCGTGTGGACGGAATACTCGGTCCCTAAATTGCTCGCTCCATTCCTTCGAGGCATGCGGGCATTTTCGTTTACACGGATTCCTCTTCTTCTCGATTCGCGTCGCGCATAGGGGTGTGACCTTCTCTCTATACTCGGGCGGTTAGCGGCCGGCGTAAGTGAGACGTTTTCGATTCCATGGCGGCGGAAGTTGTGGAACATTGCGTGTAATTTATTCTTTGTCCGCTCACCCGTCCACCACTTTTTCTTCCCCTCTCTTTTCTTTTCTCCGAGCGTACGCTTCGAATCACGTCGAATCGGGGAATAAAAAAAAAAAAAAAAAACGAGTTTCTCGTATGAATTAGACGTCCCTTTGAATTATCGCTCTACCCGACTCTCGCTGCCGGGGTCATTGTCTTTATAATTCTTCCTTCCAGTTCTCGTTTCGTTTGATTTACGTAAAATTCTTTCTTTTTTTTTTACGAAATTTTCCCTCGGTCAACGCTCGGAATCGTCCAACTTTTCTTATTTGTAGCACGCATCGTATCCCGCCATGTTCCGCTATTATTCCTCTCTGTCTCTCTCTCTCTCTTTCGATCCGTCGAAAGCCGTCGTTTGCGTTGGAAAAGTACGAAAACGAGAGAATAATAAGAGAAAGAGGAATTATTACTCGCATCGAATATATATTCGTTGTAAAAATGATTGGCAATCATTTTCATTAACGCGGATCGTAACTCGAAGATTCTTAACGCGATAAGATATTACTTCATCACCGGGAGAGAGAGAGAGAGAGAG